GTATGACTAGTCGCAGTAGTAGTATTAGTGTTATTAAGTAATAGTAGTTGCAGCAGCAGTAGTATTGGTCGTGTTAGTGTTAGTAGCAGTAGTAGTAGTAATCTTTGTACTAGTATGTTGTAGTAGTTTGTGGTGGCAGTACTAGTATATATTTAGTATCGGTAGTAGTAGTATTCCAAGTAGTAGTCGTTGCAGAAGAAGTGGAACTGGTAGAAACATTGATAGTAGAGTACTAGTAAAAGCAGTAGTATTAGTAGTAGCAGTAATGTTGGTAATAGTAGTAGTGCTATTAGTATCTGTGTGGTAGTAGTAGTAGTAATAATGATATTGGTAGCTGCAGTAGTAGTAGTAGTAATATTAGTATAAGTAATAAGAATAGTTGCAGTAGTAGTAATAGAAGTCGTGGTAGTGTCGGTAGCTGCAGTAGTACTATTAGTTATAGTGGTAGTAATCTTAGTGCTAGTATTAGAAGTGGTAGTTGTAGTGACAGTACTAATGATATTAGTAGTGTTAATAGTGGTAGTATTCCTGGTAGTAGTTATTGCAGAAGAAGTAGAACTGAAAGCAATAGTGGCAGTAGTATTGGTCGTGGTATTAATATTCGTCGTGGCAGTAGTATTAGTAGTAGTAGTACTTATATTAGTACTGGTATTAGAAGTAGTAATAGCATTGAGAGTAGCAGTAATAATAATATAGGTGGTAGTATCATTCCGAGTGGTAGACGTTGCAGAAGAAGTAGAACTGGTAAAACAGTGGTGGTAGTAGTAGTAGCTGTTGTGATAATAATGGTAGTATTAGTAGTAGTTGTTGTAGAAGTGTTAGTATAATCAGTGGTGGTGATAATATTGGTGGTAGCACTAATAGTCGTGGTGGTAGTAGTGCTAGTAGTAGTAGTAGCAGCAGTAATAGTATTAGTAGTAGTACTAGAAGTAGTAGTTATAGTGAGAGCAGTAGTAATAATAATAGTATTGTTGGCAGTATTTTTATGGTAGTCCTTGCAAAATGGGTGGAACTGGTAGTAATGAAATTAGTATTAGTAATGGTAGTCGTGGTAGTGGTAGTAGCAGTAGTTGTAATAGTAGCATTGGTATTAGAAGTAGTAATGCAGTGACAGAAGAAGTAATAATAGTAGTATTGGCAGTAGTATTATTCCTAGAGTAGTGGTTGCAGAAGAAGTAGAAATGGTGGCAGTAGTAGTGGAAATATTAGTAGTAGCAGTGGCAATATTAGTATTAGTAGTAGCGGTAGCAGTGTTAGTATTAGCAGTAGTAGTAGCAGTGGTAGCATTATTGGTAGTAGTGGTCGTGGTATTAGTGGAAGTAGTAGCGTTAGTATTAGTAGTAGTAGTAGCAGTAGTAATATTAGTAATAATTATAGAAGTAGTGTTAGTAGCAATAGTAGTAGTGCCCACGGTTTATGTAGTAGTATTATAAGCAGTGCTAGCAGCATTAGTAATAGTAATAATAGTAGTGGTGTTACGTGTAGTAATAGTAGTATCAGCAGCAGTAGTATTATTAGTAGCAGTATTAGCGTTACTAGCGGTACAAGTATTAGTGGCAGTAGCAGTGGTAGTAGTGGTTGTTGTTGTTATAGCAGTAGTAGCAGCAGTAGTACCAGTTTCATTGCTCTTAATTGTAGTAGTAGTAGTGGTAGAATTAGTTACAGTACTACTAGTTGTTGTAATACCAGCAGTGATGGTAGTAGTAGTAGTAGTATCACTAGTAGAAATAGTACTAGTAGTAGTATTGCTGGTAGAAGAAGTAGTAATGGCAGTATTAGTAGTAGTAGCGGTTGTAGTAGTGGAAGTGGTATTGATAGTAATATTAGTAGTAGTATTAGTGGTGGCAGTAACAGTACTAGTAGCGGCAGCAGCATTACTGGTAGCAGTGGTAGTAGTAATAGCAGTAGTAGTTTTATTGGTTATGGCACTAGCGTTATGGTGAGTAGTGATAATAGTAGCAGTTGTAGTAATAGCAGTAGTAGCAGTAGTACTCGTAGTAGTAGTCGTAGTAGTAGTAATAATACCGGTATCTTCGGTAGTGCCATCAGTAGTAGCAGTAGCAGCAGCGGTAGTGGTAGTATTAACAGTAGTGCTAGTGGTAGTAGTAGTATTAGCAGCAACAGTAGTAGTAGTAGTATTACTAGCACTGGCGGTATTATTAGTATTGATAATGGTAGTAGTATTAGTATTAGTAGTCATAATAATAGTAGTGGGATTATTGTTAGTGATAATAGTAGCAGTAGTATTAGATGTATTAGTAGTATTGGTGGAAGTAGTAGTAGTAGCAGCAGCAGTAAAAGTAGTTGTATTACTGGTACCATTATTAGTAGCATTAGCGGCCCTAGTAGTAGTAGTGGTAGTAGTAGCATTGGCAGTGGTGGTATTAGTCGTAG